CACATCCTAGTAGAATAATTAGGAAAAAACCCAAAGAAATTACATCAAAAGTTTGCCTAGTTCAGCTATTTCACATAAAATAAATTTAAATTCAATTACTCAGACTATGTATTAATAAAATGAAAAAATAAATGTACTTGCAGTTGTGATGTTTGGGAGTATACATACAGAATTTTTTACTCAATTTGGATATCATTCATTTCAATATTAAAAAATTCATTATACCTTAGCAGGTATCATATTCTATTTAACAACATCAAAATACCGTTCTCAGTTGATATTTGACATCAGCCAGAATATTATCAGCTGACATTGCAAAGACAGATATAAGTGGGAATCTGGTCAGCATTTCTCAAATTGTACTTATATAGTAGTTTTTTTCTTTTGGCTTAGGAAAATACCTGGCTTAGTTTTATATAAATATAGCCCTTTCAAATGCATACATTGTAAGTGTTGATAGGGATTTTTTTGGTTTGTTTTGTTTTCTGCACACATCACACAAATGAGGATCACACAAAGAGAAGTATCCTCATTAATTAAATGATATTAAATACATTAAACACAGTCATGTTCTTTTTGTAGAAGAGAGGAAAATGTGTTTTTTTCATATACAAAACTCATTATACAAAATTTTGGAATGTATAAAATACTATAAAAATTAGAATACCTCCCTGTCATCTTTCAAGAGTAATTATTTTTGTCATTTGAAAAAATTTGCCTTGGCTAGCTAATGTCATATGGGTTATACCAAGCTGAAATGTGTAAAGTAGCATTGTTACAAAATCCTTATGTTAATATTCACAAACCTTTTAGTCTTTCTGTAAGCACATAACGCTGCATTTAGTGGATTGTTCCAGAACGTCATCATTACTGATTACCGTAAAACGATATATATTCTTCAGATATTGAATACAGCTTTGTTAATCAGTTTAACATCAAACATATTTTTATTATTTAGCTCTCCCACAAACAATGCATGTAAATCCCCAGCCTGTTTCTCATTAGAACTTTCTGAAAAGTCTACAGTACAATCTGCAGCCTATGGGAAACATAATGCAATTGATAAAGAAAAATGATAGCATTATCAGTCTGTTTCATCATTAAGATCAACAGTCAGCATTTAGAAGTATTAACACACTGTTTCAATGCTTATTCCTGGAAACACATCTAATATGTTTCATATTATTTCATACTGTTAGCTATCGGAAGAATATGGAGTAAGTTATAGGTATAAAACAGTTCATTGAAGTCCTAGATTTGATTATATATTAACATTTATAGAATCATAGAATGGTTCGGGTTGGAAAGGACCTCAAAGATCATCTAGTTCCAACCCCCCTGACATGGGCAGGGAAACCCTCCACTACACCAGGTTGCTCAAAGCCTCATCCAATCTGGCCTTGAACACTTCCAGGGATGGGGCATCTACAACTTCTCTGGGCAACCTGTTCCAGTGCCTCACCACCCTCAGAGGGAAGAATTTCTTCCTTATGTCTAATCGAAATCTCCCCTCTTTCAGTTTAAAGCCATTGCCCCTTGTCCTATCACTACATGCCCTTGGAAAAAGTCCCTCTCCAGCTTTCCTGTAGGCCCCCTTTAAGTACCGGAAAGCTGCTATAAGATCACCCCGGAGACTTCTCTTCTCCAGGCTGAACAGCCCCAACACTCTCAGCCTTTCTTCAGAGGAGAGGTGCTCCAGCCCTCCGATCATCTTCGTGGCCCTCCTCTGGACCCACTCCAGCAGCTCCATGTCCTTCTTGTGTTGGGGACTCCAGAGCTGAATGCAGTATTCTAGGTGGGGGTATCACGAGAGCAGAGTAGAGGGGCAGAATCACTTCCCTCGACCTGCTGGCCACGCTTCTTTGGATGCAGCCCAGGATACGGTTGGCTTTCTGGGCTGCCTGTGCACGTTGCCGGCTCATGTTGAGCTTCTCATCCACCAGCACTCCCAAGTCCTTTTCCTCAGGGCTGCTCTCATTCTCTGCCCAGCCTGTGCTTGTGCTTGGGATTGCCCCGACCCATGTGCAGGACCTTGCACTTGGCCTTGTTGAACTTCATGAGGTTCTCACAGGCCCACCTCTCCAGCCTGTCAAGGTCCCTCTGGATGGCATCCCTTCCCTCCAGCGTGTTCACAACACCACACAGCTTGGTGTCATCAGCAAACTTGCTGAGGGTGCACTTGATCCCACTGTTCATGTCACCAACAAAGTTGACTATGTTGAATATGTTGAATAGCACTGGTCCCAGTACCGACCCTTGAGGAACACCACTTGTCACTGGCCTCCACATGGACATTGAACTGTTGACCACAACTCTTTGAGTGCAACCATCCACCTAATTTCTTATCCATCAAGTGGTCCATCCATCAAATCCATGGCCCTCCAGTTTAGAGACAAGGATGTCATGTGGCACAGTATCAAATGCTTTGGACAAGTCCAGGTGGATGATGTCAGTTGCTCTTCCCCTATCCATCAATACTGTATCGTCATCATAGAAGGTCACCAAATTAGTCAGGCAGGATTTGCCCTTAGTGAAGCCATGTTGGCTGTCACCAATCACCTCCTTATTTTCTATGTGCCTTAGCATAGTCACCAGGAGGATCTTATACTTACTGAAAAAGATAACTTTAATCCATATAAATACCACCAAAGGAAGTAGAGAAATTCTCAGCTGACTTATGAATTCATGACTTGCATATTCCGCCCTTTGCTCTGCCATGTTCATTATTCATGACTCAGGATAACAGATACCAGTATATATTAACATTTCAAATTGAAAATTTGAATTTTTTTACTTTTTCCTATCAGTTGAAATATTTTTCTACTACAGGCAAAAAGTATTTTTGTGCATATGCTAAAACACTTCTCGAAAGGAAGTTCCATATTTTAATAAAGAGCTTCTCATAATCCAACATTAGATATCACATACAGTTCCCATGCTTGATATCTACTCTCGGTTGCTAGTATTTTTCAGAGATTTTCTTTGTGGTGTTGTAAATGCCTCAATAGGATGCTGGGTAAAAGATATCAAATATTTAAATTCTTAGGAACTGGCATAAGTGGTAACTCCTGAACAGCTCATACTTTCAAAGTGAGAACTTCAGCAAGCAAAAAAACAGAAAAAGGCAAAGACGAGTGCCCCAGACAAAAAGCAAATGTTGTCAACAAACATCCCAACTCGAACTGAGATTTCCAGTCATTGCTCAGCTAAAAGGTACTATAAAAATACGGAGCTCCACACTGAACACTTAGTGATTACTGGACAAAATCTGCCCTTAATACAACTTTAAATGACAGTTTTCACCAATTTCACAGGAAAATCAGCCTGCTCCTTAAGAGCCTCTTCGGGATTGTACATCTCCCAACAGTAAATTGCTCTGCAAGTAGAACTTTGCTGATGTTTAGGAATGAGAAGTAAAACATCTCCTTCTCCCAGGTCTCTGGGATGCTTACAAGAAGCACAGCAAAGAACAGGCTAGCAGAATGATGAGATTTGACAGGGATAGCAGGTCTTTCCAGTAAGATGCCATTTTTACAGTCATCTTTCAGAGGAAATAAAAGGACTTTCAGCTGTAGCCAAAGAAGATATAAAATATCTAATAATGTGAAATTAATATACTGTGCTAAGAATACAATCTCAGAACCTTTATGAACACTTTGCTTTACTGAATTTCTACACTGAATGAGAAAGTAATTCCAGAGTTTGTCTTTCCTCCATGTTCTAATTCACTTATACGATATATAAATAAAATAATAATAGGAGTTGCCACTAACAGTAACGAAATGAGTTATATATGAAAATAATTTTTGTTTTAAGTCATGAAGACCATAAAACAGAGTACTAAGAAATAGCAAATGTTTTCTTGGTGCCAAGTTCCCTGTTTTGTCTCTACTTTCCATTTCTTCAGGTGCAAGTTCTGTGTAACACTGCAGAGGTACCAGGAATCAGCAAAATCACATACATAAACTGTATAGCAAGCTTAGGTCATTGCATAGTACACATTCTAAATCTTTTCTAATACTTCATTGCTTAGGAAATGGGAAAAGTAGCTTTATCATATTTGTAAAACATCGTGCCTGCATTTATCCTTTCGAAATAATAATAAACTTCTTTGTATGGCAATTTCAAAGTTTGCAATTAAGGCCTTAACAAATAAATTTCTCTGATATAATGGATTCTTTTCATGTCAAAAAAGTTCTATTTTATAAAATATTGGTTGTATTTAAAATGTATTTACAGATTCATCAGGGCTGCTGTTATATACCTGCCTATTTTCTTCAACTAACACAAATATAGCAAATTTCACCCTTGGATCTCAGAATACTTTAAAAAGAAAATAACATAGAATCATAGAATAGTTTGGGTTGGAAGGGACCTTTAAAGTTCATCTAGTCCAATCCTCCTGCAATAAGCAGGGCCATCTTCAACTCAATCTGGTTGCTCAAATCCCCATCCAATCTGACCTTGAATGTTTCCAGGGATGGGGTATCTACAACTTCTCCAGGCAACCTGTTCCAGTGTTTCACCACTGTCATTGTAAAACATTTCTTCCTTATCTCTAATCTAAATCTACCCTCTTTCAGCTTAAAACCATTACTCCTTGTCCTATTTCAACAGGACCTTGTAAAAAGTCTGTCCCCTTGTTTCTTATAAGCCTCCTGTAAGTACTGAAAGGCTGCAATAAGGTCTCCCCAGAGCTTTCTCTTCTCCAGGCTGAACAATGCCAACTCTCTCAGCCTTTCCTTATAAGTGAAGTGCTCCAGCCCTCTGATAATTTCTGTGGCCCTCCTCTGGATCCACTCCCACATCTCCATGTCCTTATGCTGGAGGCCCCAGAGTTGAACGCAGTACTCCAGGCAGGGTCTCACGAGAGCAGAGTAGAGGGGCAGAATCACCTCCCTCGACCTGCTGGCCACGCTTCTTTGGATGCAGCTCAGGATACGGTTGGCTTTCTGGGCTGCAAGCGCACGTTGCTGGCTCATGTACAGCTTTTCACTCACCAGTAACCTCCAAATCCTTCTCTTCAGAGCTGCTCTCTATCCCTTCATTCCCCAGCTTGTATTGATACCGGGGCTTGCCCCAACTCAGGTCCAGAACCTTGCACTTGGCCTTGTTGAAACTCATGAGGTTCATATGGGCCCACTTCTCGAGCTCGTCCAGGTCCCTCTGGATGACATCCCATCCCTCAGGTGTGTGAACCACACCACTCAGCTTGGTGTCATCTGCAAACTTGCTGAGGGTGCACTCCAGCCCACATATCATTCACAAAATATTTTAAATTTGAAAGATTAGGTAAGGAAGGACACAAAAGTGGGAAATTGTGTATTTATTTAAGAGTATATCATCTACTAGTCTTGAGGGGAAATAAACTTCAAATCTTGGTTCATAAATTCTCTCAAAACTTAATCACTTAAACATTAAAAAGAAAGGAGAAGGAAGAAAGTGAAGTGTGCATTTACTTTCCTTGTATGCAGAACTGCTTATTTGTATCTCTATTTCAGTCGTTGAGCTGGAAGTGGGATAAGTTTGATCTGACACACAGAAGCAAAAGGACAAATGTTCAGAGAAGAAAATATGCCCCATCCCCACTGCAATTTATTTTCTCTTCAAAAGCCTGTCATTCCATCCTATCTATTGACCAAGCCATCACTGAATTTCAAGAAAACAGATCAGTATTTAAGAAGCTGAAATTGCCATAAAAGATTCAAAGTTCCAAAACGAGACCTTTTGATTTTTTTTCTTTTACAGTAGCCATGCATGAGAGAACTTGGGGGATTTGTATTAGCAATGCTTTTAGCCATTTTAACAGTCCTGCTCGTGTCAATGACAGGCATCAACTTCACGATCGCTCTGTTTGCTGCACGGCAATTCTGCAGCCTTGTGTGCAAATCCAGGGTGTTAGCCCGGATTTACTGCCCTCCTATCCTACTACGCAGACCTAGATCAGCCCTGTGTCCCAATTCTCTTTGTTGAAAACACCTCTTGCCAGGTCCACACACTTCCCATTTTTCTTCCTCTGCCTTGCTACCGCTACTATTTTTTTTTTCTCTTTACTCTCCATTCCAACTGGTTTATCCCCTTTTTTTTTTACTAGGGTGCCAGAAAAAGCAAAGACTGATTCTGCTGTATGACACTTCCTCCTCAGGTTGACAGATGCTTTCTGACTATCTCATTATCCAAATTTTTTTGTAGCATTGAACTATACTAGCATCACTGTTAGGAAATAACTTGCCAAATGTTTTACCACCAAAATATCATGGAAATGAATCCCCTGTGAACAAATTGTGAGCAAACCAACATAAATTTTGCCCATGATTATAGATGTTCCAAGTTTTTCAATTCCAGAATGCAATCCCAATTTAATTTCTTTTGTGAATATGAATACTTTGCTTGATCAAATCTTATCCTGTGGCAGAATGATTTTTTGAAATTTAGCTAGGTCAGAAAAAGCCTTCTTGCCTTTTTCCCTCCCCAAAAGATCCAGTTTCTCTTTACGCTAAGAAATATAAATACTTGTAAAAGAAAAAGTAAAATCTTCCTAATAGTGTTACATACATTTTATAATATAACTATTATATTAAAAGTCTGTTTTCTTAAGGGCAACATTTAAACAAAGACTAGCTGGGGGAAAAAAAGCCCAGAACATAGAAAAGACTAAAGATTAGGCATGGAAATATGTTCAGATAAAAGGTGGTTAATCCCAAGGACTTGAGTTATAGAGGATTATGGGGCGTCTGTAAGGCAGATGTTTGTTTATTGATGTCACAGAACATAAAAAGCAAACAGAGGGGGAAAATGCATAATTTTTCACTGACTACAGATTTTCCATATCATAGATAAACCGACCAATAAAGGGAATCTTCGAAACTGCTCAACAGACTCTGGTTTGCCTACAGACTTTGTAAAAGTACTAAGGATTGTTGTTTTCTCAGTTTTCCAAGCTTTTTTATAAAAGTTACACTGCAACAGTCACGTGTGGCAAATCTTACAATTTGCATTCATAAAGAAAACCATTAACAATCAGATAAATTATAGGATAGAAAGAAGGTGGCAACTAACAAGTTTGACCTTTTAAATTCACCTCAGTGCACTACATTATAATGATTGTATTCTCTTGTCCTTTCCATTCTTATAAAACCACAGAATGGTTTGGGTTGGAAGGAATCTTAAAGATCATCTGGTTCCAACACCCCTGCCATGGGCAGGGACACCTTCCACTAGACCACCTTGCTCAAAGCTCCATCCAACCTGGCATTTCTTAACAAAGAATGCGTTACGTTGCTCTCCTCACTGCCTTAGGAGAGCATGACATCCCAAACAAACTCTCTCTGCAAATGTGAGTAATGTGAAAAAAAAGATAAGAATGTGTAGGTTGTTTATTAATAAGTTGAATCAAAAAACTAATTATGAAAAATAAAAGTCCCTGTAGATACAAATGTCTACAGCTGCAAAATAAATTCTGGGACAGAAAACTGAGAGATTAATTTAGATTAAACACTTAAAATATTTCACTGTCACTTTGACTGAACGTAATATTAAAAATTCTAAGTCTACAATCACATTATCTCAGCTTTCCCATACTTAAGAATTTGTTGTGCCAAAACACTGTTTTATTATTTTTTTAGTCAAAGTGTCTGGCTAAAAGCAAAACTTTACCTATGTTTTTTTCTTCTATAATTTACTCAAGACTATGAGCATTTTGTTCCATGAGGAATGCACATCAAGGAGGCAGAACATGTCATACGGACACTTTCAACTTTATTATAATCCTACGTTGTATCACACCATATATCAAGTGTTACGACACAATCTACTTTAGGAAAAAGAATGCAGATGACATGCTTTTTACTGCTTAGTCATATGTGTGATGCTATAAAAAGATGTAATCCTTACAACCTTCTTATCAGAGAGATATTTTAACCCTGGACTTCAAAGTGCATCTGCTATTCACCATCAGTTTGAATTTCCCTGGCCTGAATACTACTCTTCTACCAATACAGTTCTCTCTTGCACTGCTGAAACAGCATTCATTATGATATTTTTTTCTAAATATTCTCATAAAAAGAAACTGTCAAAAAATCATTAAGACAGATAACTCACCAGGGCCTTTATCTGGGAGTATTATGTATAAACATAATCTGTTTCTCACCAGCCCAGGCTACAGCTCTAAGGATGTCACCGCATCTCTCACAGCCAGGAGGAAATGTCCCGCCTTTTGTAGGCAGGGCCTAAACCTTCTTAATTAGGTAATTACCAATACAAGCCAGCTGGGTAATAGATCCATAATTCCCCCTTTTTGTTTTCCAGTTTTTTTGGTTTTCAGGAAGGCTTTACAGTGAGCAGAGACCCAGTTCACTCATTCCAACTCCAGCTCGCTTCCCTCTTTCGGGGTAGCGGCTTTACCTTCTTTATCGAAGGACTTCTCGCTCCGGCTCTTTTGGCTCTGGTGAGGGAGTCGGGGTTGAGGTCTTCACGTCGACACAGATTCCCCACATAAATGCACACTTGCCAGTCAGATATTTACATACTTCTCCATTGTTTAACAATCTTTTTTTCACTCATGCTTGTGCCTGATATTATAATTTTCTACCCACTTCAATCTTATGTTGTTTTAATTGAGAAGATTTCTTAAGAAATCTGAGTCAAATGACCACCTAACACTTTCACAAACTGTATGACTGTCATGGTCAGCTTCTATTGGCTTCTACCAGAAAAATCTAGACTGTGAGCATCAATCTTTGCAGGACAGTGGCTGAGCATTTGCATTTGTTAAAACAGGTTAACTTGAAGGCAATTAGATTTACTGCATTCATTTTTGTAATTAAAACATAAATCCTCATTCCAATTGATGCATATGAGAAATTTCCTGTTAAATTCAGGGGAACCAAAGATATTCTGAGCAAATGAAATAAAATAATGGAAAATAAAAAAAAATGTCTAAACGTCTAAATCTTTGCATAAACTCTTCCAATTATAGTATAAATTTATTTTAAAAGTAGGAAACTCCTTCTTACACTAGAATTGGACACTTCGGTGGCTTTATAACCAGTGATGATGCCTCTCAGAAAGTTTACACTGAAACCTGGCTGTGCTTAAGACTGTAGGAAAAGTCCCACTGACTGCAGCAGAGCCTAGATTTCACTATTGCAGAGGAACTCGGAGACACTGCTGGCCATCAGGGATCTGCAACTCTCATCTTGTCATCCTGGCAACAAAACCTTTGCTTTTAGGCTGCTTTACTCACCATTACTCATACCACAGCTGTTCTTGCTGATTAGTGACATCGGCCAGTCCTGAAACCTGTGAGATGGTCAACTGAGTGAACCTGAAACAGCCTTCAGGATTACGGTCACAATCTTCTCCCTTCACCACACTGAATTTTCTCGTCACTTCCTTTACTTCTCTATAGAATCATAGAATTATTTAGGTTGAAAGAGACCTTGAAAATCTCCAAATCCAACTGTAACCTGACACTGCCAAGTCCACCACTAAACCATGTCCATAAGCACCACATCTACACATCTTTTAAATATCTCCAGGGATGGTGACTCAACCACTTCCCTCGGCAGCCTGTTGGTATTTCCTGACAATCCTTTCAGTGAAGACATTGTTTCCTAGCATCCAATCTAAACCTCCCCTGGTGCAACTTGAGGCAATTTCCTCTTGTCCTATCGCTTGTGACTTAGGAGAAGAGACCAACACCCACATATAACCAGTTCCAAAACTATGCAGCTTTTGAACTGACTTCATGCTATCACCACTGTCATAACCAGTATGAGAAGCTCAGATACAGTAAGCAATATTTTCCAAACTGATAACAGAAAGAAAGAAGGAGAAAGGTAAAGCAATTCATATAGCTCCACACTGAAGTCTGGAGATTAAAGCCTACCCATTCTCAAATAATATGTTTACATAGTCCTGTACCTATTGCCCTGAACAAAGCAATTACCAATAAGAAAAGACCTTCCCTATTTCTTTATTACCTCTCTTCCTTCTTTTTTTTTAATCAATACTATGATCCTAACGTGAAGAAACAACATTAGCAAATGTAAATGAGCCAAAACATCTCATTTCATTGCCTCTCCTTCTCCCCAGGAATAACAATTAGCACCTATGAGAGTCCCTTTAACAGG